ATAGACATTTTTACCACATGAGTACATTTTGACAATATATCTGGGTATATAAATACTATATCTCATAGTACACAAGTGTACAACACCAAACATATTCACTTTCTCTCTCTCTCTCCTTGTTAAATAAATGAGTCATTTGTCCTGTAGCTTTTCCTGTATTCTGGATTTGGTTGATCATATCTCCATGACGATTTGGGAGCTAGTTTGCTCCTGAGGCTTGGTTAGATTCAGGTTTGATGTTTTTGGCACAACCACTTCATAGGTAGTGCTATGTTCTTCCATAACAAGGCAAACGATGTCTGGTTGCCTCCCTTTTTACAATGTTTAGCAGGTATTGATGACCATTACCTAAATCCTTTATTTAATTATCAAAAAAACCAAACCCATTTCTGTCCAGTCAATTCTGATTCATACAGACCCTATAAGACAGAGTAGAACTGCCCCATAGGGTTTCCAAGGCTGTAATCTTTATGAGAGCAGACTGCCACAACTTTCTCGCTTGGAGTGGCTGGTGGGTTTGAACCACCGAGCTTTCAATTAGCAGCACTTAATCATCGCTCCACCAGAGCTCTTTTATTTAATTAGAGTGTTTTAAAAGGTGGTATTCAAATTCTACCATGTCTTCTTCATATATTAGCTGTAATACTCCTATAAAGACAAACCCTCTCTAATCAACAGTTTGGCTACCTTGATGTGCGACTTGTACAGGACAGGCAGGATAATAAACATTTGATTTTTCCCTTTATTTACTAATTTTTATAAAAATTAGTTGGTTTTCTGGCATTCTTCAAAGGTCACCAACCAGTTTTCTTTTCGTTGTTGTTCAATATACTTATGAACTCATGGCTTTTTAATATGTTGATGGGATTCAAACCATTGTTAAAGGGTTTTGAGCAGAGATATGACATGATTTGATCTATGCTTTAAAAATCACTCTGGCTGCTGTGTTGAAAATAGACTAAGGGAGCAAGGGTGAAAGTAGGGGGGTAAGTCAGAAGGCAATGTAAATCCAGGAGATAGAATTTGGTGACTTGGCCCAGGATGGTATCAATGGAGATGGTGAAAAGTGGCTAGAATCTGGATATGGTTTGAAGGTAGATCCAAGAGAACTTCCTCATCAGTTAGAGGTAGAGTATGAGAAAGAAAACTACAGGTCATCTCCAAATTTTGGGGCCCAAGCAAGTGGAATTTCTGAGTCAAGTGCTCTTTCCATGTTAAATCTCACTTCCAAGTGCCACACAAGGGAAGTCCCAGAGGTTGTATCAGGGCTGTCCTGACAGTGGGTCACACAGTGAAGTCAATGACTCCCCAGAGGAGGGAATCTGGGACCTGGTCATAATCAGTACATCATAGAGTGATCAGGAGTGAACCAATTTTTACTCATAAGTGCACCCTGAGACAGCATGGAGTACCTAATGCACACAATTGATTAAAATCTAAATATAGAGCACCTTAAGCGTTAGAGCCCAAAAGGAACCTGGTTTCTAACAGTCTAATTGCCTTCACCCTTACCCCCCACCCCTTCTCGCAAAGCCACTAGTATTACTAGCATTACCCCCTGCTGGTACATTGTTTCAGTTGAGTGTAAGAAAAATAAAACACCCTTAAAGAATCCACCTGTCAGAGAGAGAATTGAGACTATCTTATTTCTGTAGATGCCAAAAGAACTTCCAAATCTTTCCACATGGTAAATTAGTTAAGTTGGCAGGGAATGTGTGTGGGGGCATGGGGGTAGGGAACAGCAATAAATTCCTAGGAGTACAGGGTAAAATATAGCAAAAACACTTTTATAAGCATACCTGAGGCCAAAATATCTAATAAAGTAGACTTCAGAGCAAAGAAAATTACAAGAGAAAAAGAGGAACATTACATAATGATAAAAGGATCAATCCACCAGGAAGTCATAATGATCCTAAATGTATATGCACCAAACAATATATCCTCAAAAGCACTTGAAGCAAAAACTGATGGAGCTGAAAGGAGAAAAGCCCAATCCACACCCCCTCTCTAGCAAGTGATAGGATTACTAGACAGAAAATCAGCAAGTGTATAAAAGATCTGAATAACACAATAAACTGTTGTTGTGTGCCATCAAGTTGATTCCACCTCATAGCAACCCTATAAACCAACCAAACAAACAAACCCCATTGCCATAGAGTCAATTCCAACCCATAGCGACCCTATAGGGCAGAGTAAAACTGTCCCATAGGGTTTCCAAGGAGCAGCTGGTGGATTCAAACTGCTGACCTTTTAGTTAACAGCTGTATCACTTAACGACTGCGCCACCAGGGCTTCAGCAACTCTATAGGACAGAGTAAAACCTACCCCATAGGCGATCTGTTCTTTACAGAAACAGATCGCCAGGTCTTTTCTCCTGTGAAGCCGCTGTTAGTTTCAAACCAGTGACCATTCTGTTAGCAGACAAGCTCTTAGCCACCATTGTGCTACCAGGGCTCCTTCACAATGAATTAACTAGATCTAAATGACATAAATAGAACCCTCCACCCAACAACAGCAGACTACACATTTTTAAAGTACCCATGTAACATTCAGCAAAATAGACCATCTCCTGGGCCATCAAACAAACCTCAATAAATTTAGAAGAATTGAAATACAATTTTTCTCTGACCTTAATGGAGTCGGACTAGAAATCAATAGCAGAAAGCAAAAAGAAAAAAAATATATCTGAACACTTGAAAATTGTAGTTGAAACCTATCATTCCTGTTCGTTGTTCAGACCCTCGTTTTAGAAGAGCTGAGTTTAGGAAGAGTTGTCTCCTGGGCTGAAGGGTATTTCAGGCTGAGCAAAAAGAAAGTAACTCTGGATATTTCAAGCAGAGTATTTTTGACGGCAAGGCTGGAGGCAGGGATACCATTTAGGTAGCTGTTAATTAATCCCACCTGTCATTTAAGCAAAGGAAGTACAGCTTGCTGATTGTTAATGAAGTCAGTTTGGTGGCTGATTGGATTCAGGAGATGTGAGAAAGTTTGCCTCCCAGGTTTTGGTGTGGTTGTTAGATTAGAGTTGGGAAGGAATGCAAGATTACGATGCCTTCCTGGTGTATGGCTGGTGTCCAGTCTAACCAAGGATGTTCACACCTCTCTTCATAAATCCTGCTCCAATTTTTTAAATGTTTGGGACAGTTATTGCCCCCTCCAAGATTTTTCCCCTGTCACATAAGGTCTCATATCTAGCTGGACAGCTAGAGGAGTTTGCTTTCTGGAGTTTGTGATTGCTCCCTTTAAGGCAGGTTGCCATTTTACTTGCCCTACCATGGTGCTAGCCTAAGATGGGGTACATGGCATGTGAACCACTGATGTGTCTTCAAACTTGTGTTTTTGTTCCCAATTTCAGAATACAATAAAGGTTGTCGCTCCCCTCAAAAAAGAAAGAAACTTAACTAGTAAAAAAGCTCAACCTTGAGCATTATGCTCTTTTAAGAACTATCTATATGGGATCAAATTGACAACAACAACTCGAAAGATTAGAAAGAAACCTTAGGGGGCAGTGAGTTTATGTCAATGGGAGAGGGACAACTCAGAAAAGGAGGGTGAGAATTGTTGCACAACTTGAAGAATGTAATCAATGTCACTAAAGTGTATATGTAGAAAGTATTGAATCGATATACGTTTTGCTGTGCATATTCTCAACAACGACAACAAAATAAATAAAATTTAGAGAAAAACAATGGGACTAAACCAAAGCTAAGAAGTTTCCTGAACACAATCAAACACTTTGAGGGACAGAGTAGCAGGACTGGGGGTCTGGGGACCATGCTTTCAGGGGACATCTAGGTCAATTGGCATAACAAAGTTTTTTAAGAAAATGTTCGGCATCCTACTTTGGTGAGTGGCGCCTGGGGTCTTAAAAGCTAGCAAGCGACCATCTAAGATGCATCAATGGGTCCCAACCACCTAGAGTAAAGGAGAATGAAGAACACCAAAGACACAAGGAAA